AGCATAGCGGACATTCGATTTGATTGGCTTGAAGATCACTGGGTTACACAATATAAAAAAAATTTTTAAAGTAACCCTTACTATGAAAAGTTACATCGTCAATTAGAAACTCTCAGTTTTGTATAATAAAATTTTTTTAAGAACATATTATAGTGTTCTTTAACTCTTTGTACGTCTTCTGGGAAAAAAGATCAGTATAGATCATTATCCCTAAAAACTTTATTTAGAAGGCAAATTTAGACAAGTAATACGGTATTATGGTGTAATGAATAAGTTAATTAGATATGGTATTAAACTTTTTTTGCTTCTAAACTCAATTTCCTTTACATTGACCCAAGCAACTAATGACATGGTAATACTTTATCTACAAAATGCTATGCTTTTTTGTTTATAGCAAATAATAAAAAAAAAAGTTTACTGGTAAGTTGAATAAAGCTCATTCATTGGTCAACAATTCAACAGAATGTTTGTATTTTATTTAGCAATCAAAAGAATGTAGGACAAATATGCTTGTTTAAAATAAGTTATTATTAAAGTTTAATAATCTTATTTATTCTAATTAATATTTTAGATTAAAAATCAACATAAGTATGAGGGCGATTTTGCAATTGCGATTTATAGAATAACCAAGAGCCCAAAAGATAGTAGCTACAGGATGGTTATGAAGTACGCAAAGCAGGGAAGTCTCAAAAAATTGTTAAATAGTAAATATGGTAAATTAGATTGGGCTTCTAAAGTAGCAACCTTATATTACATAGCTAATAGGCTTAATACAATTCATGAAGCCCATAAAGATTTTCATTCTGGCAATATAGTTAATCAAAATATGTTTATTTCTTACATTATTGATTTTGGTTTATGCTTCAGAAGTATTAGGTGTAATATTCAAATAGAATTAGTTTTCATTGATTTATTTAAATCGGTAGGTGGCTTTTGAAATCCATTTTTCTAGCGATGAATATCTTCTCGTTTACATGATGCAAATGCATCATTTTCATTGTTGCTAACTCCAGTTACCGGGCCCAAGATTATTCGTTCCACTTACATTTTCCATCTTTTTGGGCTTTGATAATTGATGGACGTCTTATGTTTATTTCTTTCAATGTCAATTTCATCATACTCATGGTAAGCTGATCTTTGATGATCAACGAATGCCTTATGTTTATTTGTTTTTATCAATGCTACCAATATCAACTTTTTGATAATGGCTAAATGCTTTAGACATCAATTTCATTTTTATCTTCTTCAATATTCAAATACCATTCAAAAAGATTATGAACAGAAACCTTAGACTTTCGCTCATCATTCTCGATGCCCATTCCATTTTGGTAACATCGTCCAATTCTAGCAACACTATCCATCTCTGCAGATTCTTGGTGATAAGCGAATTCCGGATACTCATTTGAATCAGGTATATTTTTAAGTTTTATTTCATTCATTTGTTTTATTTTCTTATTCGTTTTGCTAATCATATTCACCTCCTTTTCATTTATTTCATTACCATCAACCTGTTCCATGCCTTTTAATCCACAATCCTTATATTCCATCCAACTCACCATATCAAATAACTTTTGCTGCAACTCAATCCATGTCTTCGTGCTTTTGCATGCCTGTTTTACCCATGCTATTTCACTTTTCGCCACATATAATACAACACATGCGGATTTTGTTTCATTGTCCCATTCTCTAATTTTGGTGTATGCTTTATACTCCCAAAGAAGGTTTACCATCGCTATTGCATCACCACCTACATAAAAGGGCTTCATCTTTGAATATATGCAGGTAACGTATTTATGTACTTAAAGTGTCCTTTACTTATTCGTTGCAAGAGTACTTTTGTCTACCCAGGTCCTTTATGTCACGGAGTTATCCAAACCACTGTGTATTCGTGAGTTCTCACATAACTTTCATTCTCACGATCTCTTTGAGTTATTCTTAGTGAATAAACTGTTATCTGTGTGGATATATTATCGGTGGTAGTATCTGGTACAATACTCCAGTCATCGTATATTTGCCAAGCAAGTGAAAACTGATAGTAAGGACCCACAAATACATGGTAGTTTGGGTAACTCCGTAACAATGATAATTCGGATAGATTATACAAGTTGATTTTGAATATTTCAAAACTTTCTAAACCAGGTAATAACACTTATTTTTTAAAAAGTTAGTAATATGTTATTAATTGTAAAAATTTTTTAAATCTGTCAATATAGTAAATGCAGGTAATGATATTTACTTTCTCAAATTGAATTCAACCTGTAGTTTATATATTTATATGTATATATTTTACAGATTGAACTTTAAAATTTTAATAAGGTTTTGTGATATATTAGCAGAATATTGGACATTTATAAAGCCAATAGGTATACATTATTGGGCAAAAATTTGTGAATACGGCAATTTGGCTCAACCAGGCAAATGATTGGCTGACATGAGCCACAAAGCAGCACATGTCAGACAATTATTTGTCCGGTTGAGCCAAATTGTTGTATTTACAAATTTGCCTAATAATTCACTCGCTGAGTTTTTAATTTAAATATTAATTACATCATAACACATGAAAAAAATAACAGAAAGAAATTCGACCTGTGTTTAATCTAATCAATATATTAAATATGTTGAAGTTCTAGATGGTAAGTGATATTTGATTTACTTATAATTAAACAGATTTATTGCTTATTTTATATTGGTATTTGGATTATTATTGTGCTCTGTAGTTGCTGAAATGCTGTGGGTAATGTGATTACACCCTTCCTGATGCTTTATATACATCATGTAGTTATAGTTTTAGGATTAGTGTTGAGTTAGATAGAATTGGTATTGGGCTAGAGTTAGTTTAGTTCATTAGAATTAGGGTTAGTTTAGTTCGTTAGTATTAGGGTTAGTTTAGTACATTAGAGTTAGAGCTAGAATTAGAATTAGATGGTTAATTTTAGATGGTGATTACTTTGAATTTGTTATGCGAATTGTTATATATAACAATTTCGAATATGATTGTTTTTTTTTTTTTTTTTACTTGTACAATATTTGATTAAAAAAATTTTTTTTAAAAAATAAAATACAGGAAACCCAATTTTTATTATTCAAAAAAAAAAAAATTGCTACTAAATCTAACTAGAATCCACTGCCGTACTGCATTTAAAATCTCATGCTATATAATTCTAACACCCAAATTTAACCACTATACTATATTAGCTATAACATCCCGAACTACTTCTAGTTCTAATGTTTCAAATCTAACTACCATGCTTCTAATATTTCGAATCTAATTATCACACTACATCCAGTTCTAATATGCCAAATCTAACTATCATGCTACTACCATGCCGCATCCCAAAATCTAACTATTATGCTACATACAATTTAATATCCAAATCTAACTACCATACTATATTAGTTCTAATATTCCGATCTAACTACTATACTACTTCTATTCTAACAATCTAAATCTAACTACCTTCTCGAATCTAATTACTGTGCTACTTCTAGTTATAACAACTAAACTTAAAATTTTCAATGGCGAAAATCCAAAATTTCCAAGAATGGCACTAAGACAACTATAAGCAATAATGTCAAAAAAACAAAAGCCAAAATCTTTAGTGATTACACTAGTGTAAGTAACAGTAAAACTCTAATTAAGCAGCTATATTTAGATTTATATAATGATCTACATTATGTATATTGTTTATTTGTTTACATTTTTTAACTAATTAAATCGAATGTCCACTATGCTGCATCCTGGTGATAATCACCACTGGTTATAGTTAGTATTTTTTTTTTTAATTTTTTTTTTTTAGGCTCACAATTTCATTTCCCTTCCAATAATATTTACATAGCAACAATGAAAGCAATAATGATATCGATGATATCAACAGCAATAATGAACAGTCCCTACTTTTACGATCACAATTAAAATACTTCATTGAAGCATATACGAAAATGGGTCACACTTACAAATGGATTCTTTCTTCAAAAAGATGCGTTAAAGACATGATTTTTAAGGAGAAAAAGAAGCTGTCGGTTGAATCCTTGATATATTCTTGGATAATAGATTTAGATGATCCGGATATTGAGAATTTGTTCACTGAAAATGAATGGCGCGAAATTAAGAATGAAGTTCGTGAACTTCCAAAGGTAGATGAATATTTTGCAAGATCTCTTTCAAGATTTAGGAATGTGAGTTACGTAGTTCTTTTATCTCTCTTTATATAGTTATGTAGATAAAGTTTACAATTTCAGGTTCAAACAACCGCTGATCTGAGAAAGGTAATCGAGACAACGTCATATCGGAACAAAAATGATCCTTTTAATCGAGATAAGCATTTTGATTCCGAATGGGCAGAGTTAGTGATGAGGCACCTGTAAGTTTTTTTCTGTACTTTATAATTTTTTTGAATAATTATATACACTGTAAGGAATTCTATCAAGTATTAATCTTCATGTAAATAATTATAAGATAACTACCCAATATATATTATCTAGTGGTGAAATATGGAGCAATCCAGTATTCTCAACCAGTACATCCTGCAATTCTCAAAGTGAAGGGACATGTTGTGATTCCTTTACTTTGTACTAGTTTGAGGAACCTTCCAAATGGCTATATTTGCCTGAGCACGTAAGCAATAGCAGATAAAATTTTATTAGGAGAAAGTGCAAATATATACTCGTCATATTTATCCATCGATTACAGGGCAGAATGCCAAAGCCTAGCAAGTAAGGCTTGGCGAAATATAGGAGTGGACTTGGAACGTATTGGGAAAAAACCCGATATAATGGTGTTAGTAAAGTATGAGGAAAAATTAATGAGCTTCTATATGTTAAATGCTCACGTATCCTCTGCAACAAACAAAAAAAACAGATGATGGTGTGAAGTTGTGGAGAGAAATGCTAGATGGGTTGTGTTTTGTTGGTGCATCGTGTAGGCCGATGGCCAATCAATTTGGCGTTCTAGGTATCCAGATTGTGGGTACTGTTATGTACTTGAATGTACTCGTTAAAGACCTAGGGGGATACCACGCTATTTTCATCTGGGCCACACGGAAATTCCATTATCATCAGGCATGCAAGCAAGTGTAAACTCTCTTGTAAATTTATTGTTGACTCTGCAGATAAGACATTTTGAATATATCAAATACATAAAGTATTGCCCTTTATTCTGTTATAATTAGCTAACTATCTATGTTGTAAAACAGAATGTTCTTATTGTGAATAAAAGCCTTTTAATACAAGCATTTACTCACTTCCACCACGGAATGTTCAACAAAGCCCTACTGCTTCTTCACCGCGTAGAGAAGAGCAAGTACAAAAAGGCCCAAGAATGAGGATAAACCAGAAAATTAAAAAGATATAAAAGTACTAATTCTTAGAATATATTAGAATTCAATAGATTTAGATACAGTAAAGCCATTTATATCTTCTTGTAATTTTTGCTATATTAATAAAGCTAGATATATTGGCTGTTTTCATATACATAATTGCAATTCATTACAGTTTTAGAGTTTAGGTTTGGATAATTTTGGTTAGTTTTATATTATATCTAATTTTGAATTTTTAATTTAGTATTTACTTTTGTATACAGTATATTTTTATTTTATTGACCGAGGACACTATACTTCTAGATATTGGAAATCTGTCAGATCCCGCGATGGTGTCTGTCATGCCGTGTAATTACCCAATAGAAATTCGTAGTACATGCGTCTAAATTTGATTTGATTTGAAATATTTGATCTCAAATCAAAATCAAATACTGTAAATTACATTAATATCATAGTTTTTTTAAATTTATTAAAACCCCTTTTAATTAAAGGTCCTGATAACTTTAAAGCTGCTGTCATTCGAAAAATTTGATAATTAAAAAATATTTTAAGGAATTACGTGCCATCTATCTAACAATTTGGAAGGTAATCTATATCCTTGTGCTGGATTTAAATCGCAAGGTGGATTAGTAGAGGTGAACTTCGGCAACGAAAATTTTAAATATCCTGGTAAATTTATTCAAAAGGTTTAAACTTTTTGGATGAAGTATTATAATTTGGTTTTATTAAAGTGTAGTGCTCTTATTTATCCTAATTAAATATTTTATTAGATTAAAAATTAATATGGGGGCGACGATTCATGGAATAACTAAGAATCCAAAAGATGGTAACTACATGATGCTTATAGAGTACGCAAAGCAGGGAAGTCTCGGAGAATTGTTAGATAGTAAATATTGTGAATTAGATTGGGCTTCCAAAGTAGCTAACTTATATTACATAGCTAGAGGGCTTAATACAATTCATGAAGTCAATTTAGTGCATAAAGATTTTCATGGGAAATATAGTTAATCAAGTTCTTACATTACAGATTTTGGCTTACGTAAGCCAGTGTCGCAAGATTCAAGTTCTAAAGCACTTTTTGGTGTAGCTCCCTATATTGTTTCAGAGATATTATATACAAATGGAAAGGAATACAATCAAAAATCAGATATTCATTCTTTCGGAATAATTATGTCAGAAGTTTTACTGGATATCTGCCATATCACAACGAAGATCTAGCAGCACATATTTGTCTAGGTTATAGATCTAAAATTAGATGCAAAGTTCCTTAATTACTTTTGGATCTGATGAATAAATGCTTAGACGCAGAACTTCAGAACAGACTAACTGCTGAAGAAATAGCTAAATGCTAAAACGATTTTTTAACAACTTAAATATAATGATAGTAAATTACTGTGTATAAGTAGTGCTCTGAACGGGTCGGGTCGGATTGACAATTTTCGGGTTAGAGCTCCAAACCAACCTGAAATTTTAGTACTAATATATTAAATTTTTTTAAACATTTAATAATTCTTATAACGATGAGCATCGAAATTGGCTAATCAAATCAAAGCGTGGTATGCTTATATTATTGTTCGAAGTTAAAAAAAATTTAGACGATTATTAAAACAAAGTCAGCTGTTAATTTTTTCAATACTTTGATCGATATACCATGATAACTGCCCACCTAAAATTGATGAAAACTTTTATTTTTATTCTTTAATATGGATTAGATAGGTAATTTCTCGTTCAAAGTTTGGATAAAGTAAAAAATATTATTACCAGAGATTTCTAATTTCATTAACTTTAGATATTGATAAATATGCACTCTTCGAAGAATCAAACCAATTTTAATATATATAATATTTTTAAAGTAAATATCTACGTTAAAGTTGGATTAGAAATTAGAATTTTTTTATTGTCCGGAGCGTAGCGGAGGACTTTTAATGTTTAGTCATGGTGATACAAAGGTTACGTTCTTGATTAATTCATTACTGGTGCATCAAAAATGTAAATTTGAAAATTCATGTCTGTCCGCACGC